AATTGACGGAATACCCACTGAGATGTTTCAACAAACAGACGCCACGCTGGAGGCACTTAGTTGTCTATTCCAAGTAATATGGAAGACAGCTACCTGGCCAACAGACTGGTAGAGATCCATATTTGTACCCATTCCAAAGAAAGGTGATCCCACAGAGTGTGGAAATTATCAAACATAATCATTAATTATCACATGCAAGTAAAATTTTGCTGAAGGTAATTCAAAAATGGTTGCAGCAGTACATTGACAAGAGAACTTCCAGAAATGCAAGCTGGATTCAGAAAAGGACACGGAACAAGGGGTATCATCGCTGCTGTCAGATGGATCTTGGCTGAAAGCAAAGAATACCAGAAAGATGTTTACTTGTGTTTTATTGATCATGCAAAAGCACTCAACTGTGTGGATCATTACAAATTATGGAAAATATTGTGAAGAATGGCAATTCCAGAACACTTAATTGTGCTCATGAGGAACATGCACATAGACGAGGAGGCTGTCGTTTGAACAGAACAAGGTGATAACACATAGTTTAAAATTAGGAAGGGTGTGCATCAGGGTTGTATCCTTTCACCATACCTATTCAATCTGTATACTGAGCAAATAATCTGAGAAGTTGGACTATATGAAGAAGAACATGGCATCAGGATTAGAAGAAGACTCTTTAACAAACTGAGATATGCAGACAACACTGCCTTGCTTGCTGAAAGTGAAGATGACTTGAAGCACTTACTAATATCAAGTAGCTTTTTGTCATCATGGATTTTCTTACTCAAAAGATACTAAGAGTTTAACCAGCAATACATAAGGGTCCACCAAAACAAAACCAAACTCACTGCCATCAAGTCACTTCAACTCAAAGCGACCCCTCCTTGGGTTTCCAAGGCGGTATCTCGATGGAAGTAGATTGCCCAATACTCCTTTAGAAGAGAGGCTGGTGGGTTTGAACCACCAGCCTTCTGGTTAGCAGTCAAGTGCCTTAGGCACTATGCCACACAGGGGTCCAGGAGGTTGTTTTTGACATTTAAATGAGGTTGCCATATTCAAAAGACTTAGGAATCACTGGTGTAGAACTCTAAAGTAAAATCTAAAATATTTTAACATTTTTCTTTTCATTGACTACAATGAGCTACAAAACTAAGCCTAAGAAGATATTCTGTACTCTCCCAACTCTGACTGTACTCTTCCTATTCCTATAAGAAGGGATGATGTTAAATTGACAAATCTGACTGCTATACCCTCTTAATCACTAAACTGATTTTTATACCCTAAGATCCCTCTGTGTACTTTGTAGTTCTCCCTACCTCATCCCTCAAGTCCTTCTCTACCTCCAGGCATCTTTTCTCTTTTTCTTTCAAGAAAAGCAATTTAAAAGGTAATTTATGCAGCTTATTTAACATGATTGAGGTCCAAGAATATTAGTAAAAATATATAAATTAGATTAAAGGAAAACTTGGAGTTCCTCATAAGAAAAACCCAGAGGAAAAACTACGGGAAGAGTCAACAAAGAAGAAAGGTCTTACATCATGCCTTGAACTCTGTTTCCTGAAGGCAGAATGTCTTTCATTTGGATGGCCTCAATTTGCTTTACTTCCAACAGAGCCAGTCTGTTCATTTTCAGAGATAAATACAGAGCCTAACATTATGAAAGGGAGTCCTGGAGGCACAGTGGTTAAAACACTTGGCTGCTAATTCAAAGGTCAGCAGTTTGAACCCACCAGCTGCTTCAAGGAAGAAAGATGTGGCAGTCTGCTTTCATAAAGATTCACAGCCTTGGAAACCTTACTACGCTATTCTACTACAGGGTGGCTATAAGTCATAATTGACTCAATGTTAGTGAGTGGAACATTAGAAAAATCAGCAGCCAGGCATGCAGCCCCATTTGCCTCTTTTATAGTACTAGTAGGAATTCCTGGGTTGCACAAAAGATTAAGTACAGGGCTACTAACTGAAAGGTTAGGAGTTCGAACACACACAGAGACACCTAGAAAGACAGTCCTGGTGATGCGTTTCCAAAAGGTCACAGCCTTGAAACCCTATAGAGCAGTTCTACTCTGCATACAAGGGGTTGCTATGAGTCAGAATCAACTCAACAGCAATGAGCTTACAGCATTACTTGCATATTCTCTAGGGAATAAGAAGAAAAGTGAAGCTATGGCTTATCTCTCTTAGATAACCTCTGAAGTGATGCTCCCTGAGGCTCAGATAGGCAACAAATTCTAAGAAGAATTTATTTAAAGGTGAAAAGCCACAGACTGACAGGTCAAAGGTTTTTAGCTACACTTAAAACCTTTGGTTTGATGACACCCCACCCTGGGATTACAGAATCTCTGGAACAGGAAAAAGCAACTTCCTCATTCAATTCCTGATGCCCAGCTCAGAGTCTGCTTCCTGCTACCCAGAGATGAGCTGGAACCAGAGTTCCTCGCTAGGCAGATGGGCTGAACAAACCCTACCACTTATCAGAGCAAAGCCCTGGCCAGCAACTGGCTGCTGACTCTTCTTCAAAGCAGTAAAGAAATAACCTGTAGAGGTACTGTGCACATTCCTCAGCTATCTCCACCAGAGGTTGTGGCCCTCTTAGTTTCCTAGTGTTGCTATAACATAAATACCACATGTGGGTGGCTTTAATGAACAGAAATTTATTTTTTCATAGTTTATACTATTAGTCTGAATTCAGGGCACTGGCTGCAGGGGAAGGCTGTTTGTCTGTTCTGGGGGAAAATCTTTGTCTCTTTCTGATTTTCTTCCTTGGATCCTTGCTGACCTCCTTATTGCATCAGTCTATCGCCATCTGTGCTTGCTTGTTTCTGTACCTAATCTGCTCTTTTTATATTTCAGAAATGATTGGCTTAAAATACATCCTACACTGATATCTCACCTATTTTGGTCATGTTGTAAGAAGGGACCATTCCCTAGAGAAGGATGTCATGCTTGGTAGGGTGGAGGGTCGATGAAAGAGGGGGAGGCCTTCAAGGAGATGGATTGATACGGTGGCTGCGATCATGGGCTCAAGTATAGCAGGGATTGGGGGCTGGCGCGGGATCGGGCAG